TTCCTCTGGCTGCAGTCCATACCATTCCAACTTAGCAAAGCTCGGGCATTTCATAAAATGTGACATAGCCAGGAGATCACTAGGAATAACTGGGTGAAGGGACTGTTCTTTAGCACCCAGGGGACACATGTGACTTAAGGAATGTCATGGATGAGAATAGTCACTGTCCCCTGGTTTATTCAGCAGCGGACTTATTGACATGAGTCAATGCATATTGTCAGTGGGACATTTAATCTACTCCCACATGTTGGCTGCCTGTTCTGAGTCATATACCTGCTCCAGAAGGAAGACCTGTCCTCCTCTAAGAGTATTTGAAGATCACTGATAACTCCCAGCTGCCAATATTGAGTGATACAGACTGCCTTGAGCAAATCGGGCTGAGATCTAGACATCCAGCTATTACTAATGCTAAGGCACTTGTAGAAGTTGATTTTAATATTCACAATATGTGGCAACAACACTGGATGGAAAATCCCCCCTCCCACTGCACAATGTCATAGTCTGTCCTGCATCTTGGAAAAACTTCCTCGATTTGACCAGCTCCATGTGATGTAGAGAATACTAAATCGAATTTGCACTGGCCATGGCAGATGTGCAGATGCCCTTTATATGTGGGGAAAAATACGATCATCCAGCTCTGATTGAGGGATCGAAAGACAAACTATCATAGTGACAGAGTGACAAAATAGAGCTTGTAAAGGTGAGTTGATTTCCTGGTTGTGACATTCAAAGCGAAAAAGTATATCTGTGATTCAGATACACGTTTATAATATTTTGGATTTTACATTTTGTATGTTATGTTTTTATGCCTGTGTTTTTTATTGAAGTGTGATGTGAATGTGCCATATGATAAATAAATTAGCAAAGCTCATTTACCGTGAGCTGAACAATCTACATTCAATTCACACCAGCTCACCCCATTATACCCTGGTCATCAAGACTAACTCAAGCAGAATGGATAATGAGTGTGCCCCAAACACACTTACCACAAAGAAAGTTCTAGTGAACCCAGAGCTTACTCAGGCTTACTTCTGAGCAAGCATGTATAGATGTACCCTTTTAGTCCTGTTTAGTGTAGTTCCAATAGAACCAATGGAGAAATTCATCATGAAAGATCCCAAGGTCTCCACTGTTAAGTATGATGAAGTCTGATTACAGCATACTAATTAAGAATAAAAGCTTAATCATCACATAAGGCTTTGATGGAGGTGCTATGTGTTTGTGAATTCATTCTCCTGTTACAGTCTTCTGTCCCCATTCTTAGTCTAAGTAATCAGCTAAGTGAATGTAACATTTTGCTCCTCAGTTGGGCAAAAATGCATATTGGTTGTTTTCATTATTTTCCTTAAGCATGTGCTGCCAAGGTAAAATCTATTAGGATGTCCAATATGCTATGGAGGTATTATTACTGAAGGATGATGGCTGCATAATTGCATGGCACATCATCAGAAATCTGAGTTTGACGGGAGTTGAAAAATCCTTGAGAGTTTCCAATTAATCCAAATGACCCAGCTTTTATTGCTTCTGAATATCTGGAAAGCAATGGAATGTCAAGTTGTTGGAAATTCAGAGTTGCTACCTAAACAATTTGAAATAAGTATTATGCAACGTCTTTGACTTACTTATGTACAGTCAAACATGTTCTTTAACACAGAAATTCTTCTCTTATTGATTGAATTTGAACAGGGGTATGATTGAATTTCATACCCCTGTTGTCTTTTGCTGCATCAAACTGTGTAGATTAAGACATACTTTTTCTCTCAAATATATTGTGACCTATCAGATACCAAAAAGCTTGTCAGCTGGATTTCTGTTTCCTGCCTGTGCCCACAAAACCTGTATGGTGGCCAGGAAGTTAGCAGTCCACTTCACAGGAGTGGTTACAAAGTTTTGATTTATGCAATCAAAACTTAACTTTTGATTTATGCAAAATCTAAAATGCATTTTAGTATTTCTAAAATGCAAAAGCAGATGAACACTTGTCATGTTTAAACTTTGGAATTCGAAACTGCAAATGGTACACATAGTATTCAATTTAGTTCCAACTTAAGTGTGCATAGCAATAATTTGGATCAGGTAGCATCACACCCTGAGGGGCATGGGGACTTTCATCCAGAGCATGCTATCTCAACAGAAGGCTGCATGCACTTACTCGGGAGTAAATGAATCTATCACATTTTGCTTCACTATGTGTAATTAGAAGAAAGTGCAGTTTCGCCCCCAGACTGGTCTGATTTGACATTTCCTGGTATTTGTATTATAAAGCATTCCTCTTTTGCAAAAGGTGTTAAAAAAACTTTGCAGCATATTACTTTGAAAAGGAAAGGGATGGGATGGGTTATTAAAAATTATGTCCAGCTTTTCACAACCTAGTCCATTCATTTTGCTATAGCCCTGTAGAAAATGTAGCAAATTAGGCCAACTAATTCCTTGGTTTCTACACTGAGATATTGTGTAATTTTACTAGTGGGGGCCAGGGGGGAGAGTATAATACAATTGTTCCCCTCACCTAACCTAGAAAAACAGTGGGTACATTAGAGATAGGCAAGAACATCAGTTCAGTTTTCTCTCAGTGTTGAGTTTTTCCAATCTAAAGTATTTGCCCTCAAATACTAAGGATATTCCCAGCCTAAATTTTAATTTGTCCTGATCTTTGAGAATTTAAAGTTTGCATGTACTTTAACATGCGTTCTTAACATGCACTTTATATGCATTTTTGCCTAATATACACATTTTGCAAGCAGTTTTGGATCAGGCACCCAGCATAATGCAGTTTTCCTAGCGTAGTGCACTTTTAAAGGATATTCTTTCCAGTATACCTAATATATACATTTTTGTGTGTGTTGTTGAAGAACTATATTCCAACATATGACTAAATGCAAATTTCAAAGGCTAGGTGAGACCTAGTTTGTGGATTGGTGTTCTACTATTTGATTCTGTGCATTACATAGAGTACGTTGGGAAGCAAAGAGGGGAGATCATTCATTTCATTGATTCACTGTCTAATAGAATAATAGATTTCTGGCAGCTTAAAAAGATTAAGGCCTTAAAAATATACAATAAAAAACTTACTCAGTGCTCTCATTGGGCTTGATTTCTACTATGCAAATTCTCCGTGTGCCCACCAGGAACCTGTACTTATAGCTGTGACAAAGTGGACTGGACTCCAGGAAGCCCAGCTCAGGGATACTGATGGATTCCCACTCCTACCATAGATTCTCATAAATCCCTAATCTTATCAGAAAAGATTGCCACAAGGTTGGTAATTATTCCATAATTGGGAGACCACCACTGAGAAGTCCTTCTTCCTCATTATCTTCTTCTGACCTTCCCATGGAACAGACAACTTGGGAAGGACCCAGATCCAGAAATAACCAATATTGCTCTCTCCAAAATGGATTTACTGAAGCTACTGGGGGGAGGTGGGGAGATCCTTTGGAATTAGTCCGCTATGCTAAACAAACAAAAAACAAGTGCCTGAATGGACAATAGCGTACAGGCTCACCTATCACCATCTTTATTGAGGGAGTAGGTTTTATATGGACATGCAATTTAAATTTCAATGGACACATAAATAACACTATATCAAACCAAAGCAGAGAGCGCCTCTGCTTAAAATGGGATTTGAAGGGCCTATGATCAAATCAGGAGGAGGGTCAGCAGAGAAGCAAGCAAGAACATGCACACACATCAACTTCTCCTAACTACATCATTCTTCTTTAAAGATGTCATTGTATTGTTGAATTACATTCCCACATCCTGGAAGCTCTCCTCTGGCCACCACAAGAGGATGATATGAATTCTCTTAGTGGCTAAGTGACTCCTGCTGTGTGGATGGAAAGACAAATCATCTCCCTCAACTACACAATGGACTGAAGGCACAACATTGGCATTCAGTGCAAGAATATACGGACAACGTCTTCTCAACACTGATTCCAAAATTTGATCTACCTACTTCATCCTATGTTAGTGATATGGAACAGAAACTTTGGATATTTGTGTGCATATGTGTGGACATATATGTATAGACCTGTATTATTAGTTATACTTTCAAGCCCACTTCAGTGTAACTCTGATCATTACTTAGTAGCTATTGCTGCTGGGTTTATTGCGGGGTTTTGTGTGTATGTGTGTTTTTGTTTTGTTTCCCCCCCCCCTTTGTATTTGTGGTTCTACTCTTGTTTTGTATTCCCAATGATTTTTTGCTGATGTTTGATTATGTTGAAAGATTATAAAATTGAAATAAAAATATAAATATTAAGAAAACCATGCATAGCTTTTATGTTACATAATACCTGAAGCTGATACAGGGTGGAATTTTTTTAAATACTCTCAATCTTTTTCTTCAATCTGCTTGAATATGTAACATTTATGGTCTAAATATTTTACATCTACATTGCTAGAGCCCTTTTTAATTGACATATCTGTCATTTGGTAGCTTAAGGAATTTGTTAGAAAGTTTGCACTTTTTTATATTGACAATACAATAAACAATAACTGACATGTAATTGTATTTAGGTTTCTGAAAACATTTTTATATCAGCAATAATATTACTATATGACTATTCATAGCTCATAACTACCCAAGAAGAAATGACCAAGAACTACCTACAAGATGGAAATACTCAAATTTCATGTTATGTCAGGTTAAATTATACCTTTATAGTCTAAAACTAAATTCCAAACTTGAAAATTCACATTTTACACTTGAATATTGAAGCTGAACATTTTGATTAATTTTAAATACCGATTCATTTTAAATCCAGTAGAAAGCATAAGTGATATTATCATGACCATTAATATATGGATAGCATAATGCCTTAGCTTGCAGTCCTAAATAAAGTCACTTCAGTGTCAGCTCCATAGGAATCCATGTAGCTTACATTCGAATACGTAGTGTTAATGTGCTATCATAACAAGAATAACATGTTACATTTTTTCATGATAATCTCTCTGTAAATTGTCAATAACACCTCAGAATAACTGATTATTTATCATAGGTATCTTCCACCTGAAAGTACCTGAGTCTTCTCTTGTTGGTTCAGCCATTGGAAGAATCCGAGCAGTGGATCCTGACTTTGGGGAAAATGCAGAAATTGAATACATGATTGTTCCTGGTGATGGTGGGAATTTGTTTGACATCAGCACAGATGAGAACACACAAGAAGGTGTCATAAAGTTGAAAAAGGTATTTAGCCAATACGTGTTGACTAGTAGTCACTCTCAAAATCAAACAGTATGAAATCAGGTGACAATATATGCATTTGGATAAAAATTTCACCTGTGACATATGTCTGTCCTGCCAATGAGTAAGATGTATCCCTTCACAGACTTTTTGTTTGACATTTTGCTTAGTGAACAATCAAACTAGAAAATCAATAATTAAACATGGGATAGAATCCAATACTGTTCTCATGCTAGGGGGGCCTACCATTTTGAGGGAAAATGTTTATTTAACTGTGTTTAATTTAGATGTTTAAAATAAGTAATGTGCTGAGGATTTTGTTTTGTTTTGCTAACCATGTAAAAGCAGAACAGAAAACTAGATAAAACATTGGGAAATTATACAAATGCTTAACAGATAGATTTGTTCATATCCAGATGAGTTGGTATTGTAAATGAGAGTACTGTTTTGGGAATTTATCATGCCAAGTGGAGTGTGCATGTGTGAAAAAGAGAAAAAGAGAGGAGGTGGGCAACTTGTCACCTTCCAGATGTTTTCACCTACAACTCCCATCATCCCCCACTATTGTCTATTCTCATTAGGGTTAATCAGCATTGTAGGCCAAAACATCTGAATTGAAACAATTTGCCTCCTCCTGTTACAGGCATTACTAGACAAGGTTAGTAGACAGGAGCTTAATATCCTCAGAAGAAATATGTTTAAAGATCAGTATTCATTGTTTAATTTGTTTGACTTTAGTCATGATCTGTAACCATTGCCTGCCTCTGTGTATTTATTCTGCTCTCAAGGGTAGAATTACTGACAACAGAGTAAGTTCTGAAATGCTAAAAGGAAAACAGTATAATATTTAGAACTTCACTGGTCATCAGATTCATTATCTTAGTATCAATTCTTAGTATTAATTCAGAAATACAATTCAGTTAGATACAGTTACATACAGTGCAGAACTTGAAATTGGTATCTAAAACATTTTTTATTTAAAACTACAGTGGATATGGCTGCAAAGAGTTTAAGCGGAAAACAAATGTTGTGTTTTGATTTAGAATTTAGATATGGAGATTTAGAGACTGCATAAAGCAAAATTCAGGTCCTGAAGCCTATAATTAGATATTTCATCTAGGCATTGATCTAGCTTGGGTCATTAGCCTTCTCTATGAATTTGAAATATATAATTCTGAATGCATGAAATTTGTCAAATACTTGCTTTTCAGTGCTGTTACAGGAAAAAAAAATCTAGTTCTATGCCCTTCTTTTCCCCCAGTGGAGTAAAAAAATCCTGTTCAAAAAAAGTAAGGCTTGTTACATGTTTATCTTTAATGCATATCAGAGCCCTTTTTATTGCTCTGATCTTCATATATCTGTATTTTATATATGCTGGCAAAAGCAGGATTGGCTGGCGGAAATTACATGTCAGACTCTTTTCCTCATTATTTTTAATAGATGCTGTAATCCAATACTACCTGTGAGGGAGGGCTGTGTGAGTACTGCATCCTAAATCCCATAATCAGATTGCTGGTTATTTGACTTTGACCTTCAGGTCTGAGTGCAACCTCTGTTATCTCCTCAGAATGATCAAGTACCTTTCATATTGAGGGTTTTACATCTTCTAGTGCCACATAGTGCTTGGTATGGAAAATGCAGGCAGATGAAATTGAAGGAAGCAAATTTTAATGCCTTATGAGCATCACAGTAAATAAGCTTTCATGATCACCAGGTGCATAAATAGACATGTCTGTCGCATAACTTGAATCCTACCTCTCATTCACTGCACTTGAACTGCCAAATCTGTGACCCACTAACTCATAACATTCATTCTGGTTCCTGACTCTTAGCTGAGCAGATCAGAGGAAGCTGCTGCAGCTGGTCTAGGGCCTCTAAGATACAAGCAGCCAAGTTCCCAGGGAGAATAAGCAAGAGTTTTGTAGCAAGAGTTTGGTGCTGGAGTTCCACAGGGGACATCAAGGGAGAGGTCACCAGTGTTTATTTTCTGTCATTCTCTTCCTTTGTCCTCTTAGATCCCCCACACACTTGTTTCCTTTCACGTAACACACTCTTACTGTTTTACTGGTAGGACTGTGTTGTTAACCTTTAGTGAAGACAGGAAAAAAACACCAGTTGTTGCAACCACCCACCAAGAAAGAATCACAAAGAACGGACTAAGAAGACTGCACAGAGGTGGTGACCTGCAACAACTGTGCTATTTCGGTTTTCTTTCCTGAGGGCAACATGGCCTAAATGTGCAACACATGCAAGCTAGTAGCCCATTAGAAGAAAAGGTAAGAGCATTGGAGCAGAGATTGTCCACCCTCAAGGCAATAGAAAGATGGAGAGTTTTTAGGCAGAGCACTGGACCTGCAACACAGTAGAACAGAAGTGAGAAGCGCATCAACATGCTGAGGCAAAAGAAGGGAACGCTGAGGAAAGGGGAAATGAGCAAACATGGTACAGAATAACTAGAAGACACCAGTGGAAGGAATGGAAGTTTCAAACTGCTTTAAATTACTTGTGGAAGAGATGAGTGAGAAACCCACTTTGAAGGAACTATTCAACACACTGTGTAACTCTGAAAAAGAGACAGAAGGTCAATCAAGGAAAGAAAAAGATACTAAAGTTTGCAATAACAAAAGGAGAAGAGTGATCATTGTGGGAGACTCCCTGTTGCATGAGATGGAAAAACGTGTATGTCAGGAAGACCCTTGGAATCATCAGGTGTGCTGCCTCCCTGGAGCAAAGATCAATAATATAACTAACAGACTACCAATGATCATATAAACTACTGATACACAACCCAATGACATTCATCCCTTCCCTCTCATACATGTGGGAACTAATGACACTGCCAAGAGGAGTTTTGAGGAAATTACAGTGGACTTCAAGACCTTAGGGAAGGAAATTCAGAACACTGGGGGCCAGATTGTTTTCTCCTCTATCCTTCTAGTTCACAGAAATAGAAAAGACAGAACCATAAACAAACAAACAAACAAACCTCCATGTGAATTCCTGGCTATGATGGTGGTGCAGCCATGAAACATTTGGATTCTGAGACTATTGGCTAAACTTTCTGGAAGACAGACTTCTGGCAAGTGTTGGATTTCCATCTTACACAGAAAGGAAAGGATGTACTTGGCCACAGCATGAAGAAGCTTATTTGAAAGACTTTAAATTGAATTCTACAGGGGAAGAGATGTATGTCAACTGACAAAGGATTATGTATTGCAACGGTGAAAAAAATTCTAACTACACCAAACACTAGTCTCCCAAAAATGCAGGCAAGAAGCCAGAGAATATTTTGTGTTGCCTTACACCAATCCCCAAGGTATGGGAAACAAACAAGATGAACTTGAGCTCTTAGTACACAAGAGAAAGTGGTGAGATGAATCCCATGACTTGTATTTTAAAACTGCAGGATATAACCTGTTCAAAAAGAAAAGAAGTAACAGAAAGAAAATGGATTTGCACTTTATGTTAAGGATACATATCTCTGCAAAGAAATGCCGGAAGAGAATAGTAATCCTGTTGAGTATATCTGGATTAATATAAACAGAAAAGGAATAAAAGAAGTATAGTATTTGGAGTCCATTATTATCCTCCCAGTCAAGGAGATGATAAGGATGAAGCTTGGAAAAACGAATTGCCAGTGTTGCAAGGAGGCATGATATCTGATATCTGTTGGGAGTCAAGCTCTGCCAAGCATGGCCCATCTAAGAGATTCCTAATGTGTGTCACTGATAACTTCCTCCAGCAGAAAGTAAAAGTAGGAATGAGAGGCATGGCTCTACTCAACCTGATCCTTACCAACAAAGAAGACAGAGTGGGCAAAGTAACAGCTACAGCAACTCTGGGGGAAAGGAACCATGCCTTATTTGTATTCTCAATAATAAAGGACACTAAAACTAAATGTAGGCTAAAATGTACCCTGGATTTCAAAAAAGCTCCCATTAACCAATTCAGAGCCATGACAAGACTCTCTAAAGGGAAAAGTTGCCCAAGAAAAAGAAAATCTTAAGGCACAACTATAAACAATTACAACAAGGAAAAAGAGTAGTAGGCAACAGAGGAAGCCCATGTGACTTCATAAAAAGCAAAGATATAATCTGAAAAGAAAGAAGGAAATGCATAAGAGGTGGAGGGAAGGTAAGGCAAGGCTACAAAGGAAGACTATAAGCAAATAGCAAGGAACTGCAGAGATGATATCTGGAAGGCTAAAGCAATGATCTATCCAGGGAAACTAAAAGAAAAAAAAAAAAACCTTCAAATACATCCAAAGCAAAAGACAGATGAAACAGAAGGGAGTTCAACTTCTCACCGTGGATGGAACAATGATAAGACATGACAAGGAAAAGGCAGACGTGCTCAACTCCTACTTTAGCTCAGTCTTCCCCCCAAAGAAGAACTACAATCTTCCTGGCGAGGTGTAGTACAAGTTGAAGGGGCAGTATGGGCAGTATACTGTATGGCAGCCCAAAATTGACAGCCAAATGGTCAAGGATCTACTAATTGGACTAAATGAGTTCAAATCTCCAGTGCCCAAAGAAATTCATCCCAGAGTCAAAAAAGAGCTAGGAGAAGAATTCTCAGAACCACTGTCTATCATCTTTGAAAATTCACAGAAAACAGGAAAAGTTACAAATGACCGCAGAAGGGATAATATTGTCCCTATCTACAAGAAAGGAAAAAAATGAATCTGGGGCCTATAGACCAATCAGTCTGACATCAATCCCTGGAAAAAAATCTAGAGCAAATTATAAAACAGTCTGCAAACACCTTGTAGACAATGCAGTCATTACTAGAAGCCAATGTGGTTTCCTGATATTCTGGTTCCTGACTCCTGGCAGAGCAGAGCATGCTGCCCTAGCTGGTCTGGGAACTCTAGGATACAAGCAGCCAAGCTCCCAGGGAACAGGAGTTTGGTGAAAGAGGTCAAGGGGGAGGTCCCTAGCATTTTCCCCTTCTTTTCTCTACCTTCTCTCCCCTTAATTCCCCCCACACCCCATACACTTTTT